GGATAGCAAAGCAGTTGCCAAAATTATATTCACTTACAAGTATCAGTCAACAGCTGGACACGCACATCTTGACGGAAATGGGGTAAAGCGCTTGCTGGTCACAAAGGACATCTAGGGACTGACTTTCGCCTATTTTAGTCTGACCACCAATAAACAGTCCAACTCTGTTGGCTCTGACTGCCCAATTAGTTACGGATGTTACGAGATGGACTGTGAATACCGACTAAAATGAATGTCCCGTGAGCAGTTTTTGGACAACCCTATGAACGAAGACTATGATGCTTCCTTTCTCGACCACGGTTTTTACAAGGAAAACCTAAAACCTGAAATGCTCAGCGGTCCGACAGGATACGTTGGACCAAACCGGTTGAACAATACATTCCAACACTGTCGGATGGCTCCGATTCGCCCGAAAGGCGAATAAGGAATTGGTAGAACCCTAAGCTCTAACGCCTATGAACGCTTACGTACGTAAATTGAAACTTAGGACCGAAATTTCCCACAGAGGCAAAAAATGGAAGCGGTCTTCGTGGCTGTGCTGCTTTCTACAGTTTTAAAGGTCGTGCAGAACCAGTAACTAGGCCAACTAAGAGACACAACACGAATATTTGGTTCACTTTGTTAGATACCATTTCTATGTTGAAACGCAAAGGACAGTTCAGAAACACACAGATGTGGAAGACAAAGTGTCTGGATAGTCACTACAGGTCTCGTACGTTGTAAGATGAGTTGCCATGGCTAGAAATTTCACAGCAAGATCCCGGTGTCTTCGGTGACAAAATAGTTCAGACATCGGTGTTTAGTACCACGACTGGGGAACTATCGTCACCTAAAGACAACAAAAAGTGCACAACTGATCAAGTCGCCGTGCATTTGCGCTCTACATTATTGATAGGTGGGGATATGGCTAGGCACAATTACACAGGGACCATAAGACATCACACAAGGGCCAGTTCGTCATAAAACTTTTCCTCTTCGCTATCCACGAATCAGCCACCATGTGCCTGGAGCCCGTTACTCGGTGAGCCTGTATCTTCGAAGGAGTTACCGAGTCGCAGTCTTGATAGGTATGGCTGGTAACCGAGGGTATGAATGGTTATGGAACTGAATCACGTGCCCGCACATATGCGTGCGCGCCGGTGGGCGTGGTTCGATTAAGTTGATTGACCGCTACAACCTGCAGGCTGACCATGCCTGGCCAGGGGTTGGTCGGCTGGTACTTCGTACCCTTAGTGCTTCCGGAGTCAGGAGACAGGCTCAGCAGTGATGTGAAGGGTCTTTGCGGCAGTGTTGTAACGTATACCGAACCAT